AAAAAGAGGAAAATCGTAATGATTTAGTAAACTCTGAAACAACAGGAATAAATAAAATGATAAGAAAACCCATAGATAAAATGAATTCAGCACACAAAGTTATGTGAAACAAAGGAACTAGTAACATCACAAAAAGCATAGTGCAAAACGACAGCAATCAGTGTATACCTATTGATAATTACACTGAATGTAAATGGATTGGATGTACCAATCAAGAGACAAGAGTGTAGCAGATTGGATAATGAAGCAGGACTCATCAAGGTGCTGTCTACAAGAGATACACCTAAGACACAAGGACAAAAATAAACTGAAAATTGTAGGATGGAAAAAAATGAACTATGCTAATAGCAATGAAAAATGAGTAGGAGTGGTAATATTAATTTCTGATAAAATAGACTTTAAAGCAAAAACCAATAGAAGAGACAAAGAAGGGAATTATATAATGATTAAAAGATCAATTGAACAAGAGGACATGACTATAATAAATATAGATACTTCAAAGAAAGAACCGCAAAAGACACAAATCAACCTCTAATAGAGTTGAAGAGAGAAACAGACAACTTTACAAATAATGGTTGTTGTTGTTGTTAAGTGCCACCAAGTCGGTTCCGACCCATAGCGACCCTGTAACAGGGTTTCCAAGGGTGTAAATCTTTACGGGAGTAGAAAGCCTTATCTTTCTGGTAGTTTCGAACCGCTGACCTTATGGTTCACAGCCCGATTCGTAACCATATTCCATTCTAAATTACGGACAGAAAACATAGAAAGAAACTGAACAAAGACACATAAGAATTAAACAACACAATCAACCAACTTGACCTCATAAATATATACAGAACACTCCACCCAACAATAGTACAATATATATTTTTTTCAAGCATACATGAGCATTCTCCAGACTAGACCATATGTTAGGCCACAAAACAAGCTTTAGTAAAACTTAAAATATCAAAACCATATAAAACATCCTCTGAAACCACAATGATATTAAGTTAGAAATCAACAATAAGAGTAACTATATAAAAAATGCAAGTACATGGAAACAGAATAATACTTTGCTCAGAAACTGCTGGGTAAGAGAAGAAATTAAAAATCCAGTAACCAAATGAGAATGAAAACACGACATACCAAAGCCTTTGGGGCACAACAAAAGCTATAACCAGATGTCAATTTATAGCAAGAAATGCCTACACCAAAATGAAAGAGACAAACAGAATCAACATCATAACAGAACCAGTCCAACAATTAAAAAAAAAAAAGAATAGCAAAAAATGCCTACAGTTAGGCAACTTGGACATTGGCTACCCAAAATGGGAGGTGGGGGGCTACAAAGGCAAGAAGTGACTGGCTTACAAGCTTTCAAGAGGGAACCTAGATCCAGAGGGCATGGAGGAAGGTAGAATCTCCAGTGAGTAGTATTCAATCAGGCAGGGTTGATGCAATGAAATGCAGATGGGTCTCTTGTGATACAATATGGAATAATTGTTATCAGGACTGATTGTGAGGGTTGGAAATGTAAAGGTAGACATTTTATAGCAAGGAGGGGAGTGATTAACTTTTCAGTCTAGGAACGGAGGTCCCTAGGACCATCAAGGGAGAAGAGCAGAGAGCGGGACCCTACCCAGAAAAGCAGTGATGCCTGAAATGGAGCCAGAGATGATGATGTGGAGCAATGGAGCAGCTGGAGACTTTAGATCCAAAGAGGGAGAGCGACTGTGTGCTGAAGACCTGGGGGGGAAGGACTGCATGGAGGGGATTGTGACCAAGGCAATGAGAGATGATATGCGATAGAATGAATGTTAAATTAAAAAAAAAAAAAAATGCCTACAGTTACCAAAAATGAAAACAAAGATTAGAGCAGAATTAAATAAAATAGAAAAGAGAAAAACAATAGAAAGAAAACTAGAAATTGGTTCTTTGAAAGAATTAATGAAATTGATAAACTAGCAGAAAATCTAAAAATAAAAGAAGATGCAAATAACACAAATAAGAAACGAAATGGACATCATAACAGAACCACTAAAATAAAAAAGCATAACAGAAATCATACAGAACTGTATTTCAACGTATTTAAAATCTAGAATAAAAGGACAATATTCTAGAAAAACACTGCTACCTAAAATAGCACAAATTGAGGTAGAAAATTTGAACAGACCATTAAAAAAATTGATGAGGCCATAAAGCAAAAAGCTCCTAACAACAACCAAAAAAATTCTGGCCCAGATGGCTTCATGGGTGAAAGCTATTTAACATTCAGAAAAGAGTTAATACCAATTCTATTCAAACTATCCTATAATATAAAAAAGATTGAGTACTCACAAGTTCATTCTATGAAGTAAGCATAATCTTTATACCAAAGACAGGCAAAGACAGAATTAAAAATGAAAATTATTGACCAATATCCCTCATGAATACAGATGCAAAAACTGTCAACATAATTCTAATCAATAGAATCCAGCATAATACTGAAAAAATACTTCATGACCAAGTGGGATTCATACCAGGTACCCTAAGATGGTTCAGCATTAGTAAAACAAGTAATGTAATCCCCCACATAAATTGAAAGCAAAACAAAACTAAAACCACATGATCTTGATTGATGTAGAAAAGCCATTTGACAAAATCTAACACCAATTCCTGATAAAAACTCTCAGAAAAATAGAAATAGAAGGACAATTCCTCAACATAATTATTGGCATAAATTGCCTTAGTGACACAATGGGTGAATTATTGGGCTGCTAACTGAAAGGTTGTGATTCAAATCCACCAACTTCTCCATGAGAGAAAGATGAGGCTATGTGTTCCCTTAAAGATTTATAATCTCAGACATATTAAGGAGCAGGGTCTTAGATGTTCACTACATGTCAGAATCGATGGCCAACAGGGTAATTAAGGACACATACACAGATCCAACAGCCAATATTATTCTCACTGGAAGAGACTGAAAGCATTCCTCCCGTGAATGGGAACCAGTCAAGGATGCCTTCTGTTGCCACTCCTGTTCAACATTGTAGTAGAAGTCCTATCCAAAGCAATAAGACAAGAAAGGAAAATAAAAGGAATCTAAACTGTTAAGGTATAAGTAAAACAAGAATGCTATAGAAACTAATAGAAGGCAGCAAAGTGACAGGGTACATTATCAACAATATAATATATGGTCTTCTCTACAACAATATATGGTTTTCTCTACAACGCTATATGGTTTTTCTCTACACTAACAAAGAGAACTCAGAAAAGAAATTAGAAAGAAAAAAAAAAAAACCATTTATAACATTCACACTAAAGATGAAATACTTAGGGAAAAAACATCACCAGAGACACCCAAAACCTACATCAAGAAAACTACAAAACACTAGTACAGGAAGGAAATCAAAAGAGACCTACACAAATAGAAAAACAATGCCATACTCAAGTATAGGAAAATGCCAATACTACCCAAAGTGATTTACAGATATAATACAATTTTGATCCAGATTCCATCATTATTCTTTAAAGAGATGGAAAGCCTAAACTACTTAAGAAGGAGAACAAAGTAAGAGACCTCACAATTCGTAATCACAAACCTTCTATAAAGCCATGGTATTCAAAACATCCTGGTATTGGTGCAAGAGGCATATAAACCAATGGAAAATAATTGATAGTTCAGAGGTAAATACATCTACGTATGGACAGCTGATCTTCCACAAGGAGCCAAAGTCCATTAATTTGTTAAAGTTGTCTCTTTAACAAACACAACTGGCAAAAATGGATATCCATTGGCATAAGAATGAAACAGGTTCTATATTTCACTTCATATACAAAAACAAATTCAAGATGGATCAAAGACCTAAATGTAAAACCTAAATTGTTAAAGATCATAAAAAAAAAAAAAAAAAATAGGATCAAACTTAGGGATTCTAATTTATGACATAAATAGTGTGAGAAGCTTCTGGGAAGAGGTATTGACTCTTTCTAAAATTTGCATCTTGCATACCTTTGGAAGTATTTGGCATATAGTAAGGCTTGTTATAAGGCTCTGTGGTAGCATAGTGGTTACGAATCGGGCTGCTAAACTCAAGGTCGGCTGTTTGAAACTACCAGCTGTTCCGCGGGAGAAGATGTTCTGCTCCTGTAAAGATTTGAAGCCTCAGAAACCCTGTGCAGGGTCTCTATGAGTCAGAATCGACTCCATGGTACTTAACAACAATAGGGCTTGTTATGTGTCGATTGTATGAATTATTGAGACAGCAAAATCACTTCAACCATGCCTTATAAATAAAAGTCTAAATTCTTTAACATCCTGACCATTTTCTTTGAATTTGCTGAAATTTGCTACCATTCTTCTAAAATGTGGACCTTTGAATGAAAAATAGTCAAGAGGTGTTATGACAGATTATTAGGAAAGTGGGACTCTGATCTCCCACTTGCTTTATTCTATGTCTTTATTACAGTTTACATGTGGCTGTGGACTTAAATCTCTCAGCCACCACATGGTGAGAACCACTGCTTTGAGCTTATGCTCATGAACACAGATCTGTTGACTTCCAGCTGTCATCTTCCATTTTCTTCACCTTATGGTCTATCTGCTCTAGTGATGTCTCCTGCTACAGCTGATAGTCTCTCTGGCAACCTGATTCTGTGATGTTAGCTTCATAAGTAGACAAATCACACACACATTGATGGGTCAAGAGAATCAAGACCTGATTGTCAATCTGGTCTTTCATAGCACTAATTTTATTCTCTTATTCTTGCCCATGAATTCCACTCAACAGGTCAGAGGTCTGGTAATAGTCTGAAGAAGCATTTTCCCTCTGGCTTTTAGCTGTGGTGACTGGAAACAGACTGAATGCACTAGTTCCAATTATGTGAACTTGAAGTAGATAGAAAGTGAAGAAACAACAATCAATATTAGCTGCAACCTTTATTCAGTAAAAATACAATTTAAGTACATGCAAAGCACTGAGTATTAAAGTTTTTGTTACACTGAAAAAAAATACTATGCCAATGTTTATGTAAAAGAGTTTTTTACAACACTAATGCATTTTTTCTTTTCTTTTTTCACTTTTAGATCGCAATACTTTAAGTCCAGTTATTTTTGGATCACCGTCTAACTATGTTAAAGTGAAATTAGGTATATTTTGATATACATATATTCAGTGTTAATGATGGTGTACATATTGGGTCTTCCAAGGGTAAATTTGACTCATAATCAATGGTGTGTAGATAACAAATATGATATTTAGAAAAAACTTAGAACTATTTGAAAAATCCTGCCATTGTTTAGGTGTTGTCACCTTTATTGCTATGTTAGGTGCCCTTGAGCTGATTCTAACGTAGCAACCCTGTGAACAACAGAACAAAACAGTGCCCAGTCCTGCACCTTCCTCACAATTCTTGTGCTGTTTGAGCCACTGTGTCAATCCATCTCACTAAGGGTCTTCTTTTTGGTTGATCTCTACTTTACCAAACATCCTGTCCTTTTCTAGCGACTGCTCCCTCCACATAACATGTCCAAACCATGTGAGATGAAGTCTCACAATTCTTACTTCTGAGGGGCATACTGGCTGTATTTCTTTCAAGACAGATTTGTTTGCTTTTCTAGCAGTTCATAGTACATTCAGTATTATTTGCCAGCATCATAATTCAAATCCATCACTTCTTCTTCAGTCTTGAACACTTTAAAAGGTCTTTTGCAGCATATGTACTCAACACAGCAGTCCATTGTTTGATTTCTTGGCTGCTGCTTCTATGAGCTTTGATTGTGGATTCAAGTAAAATTAAATCCTTGACAACTTCAATCTTTCCTCTGTTTATCATGAAATTGTCTATTAATAATAAATGAAGATTACAACTCCTTTACATTGAGTTGTAATCCATACTGAAGGTTGTAGTCTTTGAGCACATTTTCTTTTAATTTCTAACTCCATTTTTATATATTTCATTAGAATACATTTTCCTATGGATCTGTCCTTTGAAACTTACTGTTCGATTCTTATGTGCCATCATTTCTTTCATTCACTTTAGCTTTTCTACCTTCAAAATAAAATATCAGTTATCCTGACATCCCTTTTGACCTTTGCTTTTTTCCCTGTCTTTTTAGGGTCTTTTGTCTCTTTGTGTATGATGTTCTTAATGCCATCTCACAATTCTTTTGGTCTTCAATCATTAGTGTCTAATGTATCAAATCTGTTCTTGAGATAGTCTGTAAGTTCAGGTGAGATATACTTAAGGTTGTATTGTGACCTTCATGGACTTGTTTAGTTTTCTTTAGCTTCAACCTGTACTTGCATATGAGCAGTTGTTGGTCTGTCTCACAGTTGGCCCCTGGCTTATTTAGGCTGATAGTATTGAGTGTCTCAATCATCTCTTCCCACAGATGTAGTCAATTTGGTTCTTGTGACTTCCATCTGGCCAGGTCCACATGTGTAGTTTTCGTTTATGCTGTTGAAAAGTTGTTTGCAATAAAGAAGTACTGGTCTTGCAAAATTCTATCATATGTTCTCCAGCATTGTTTCTGTCACCAAGATCACAGTTTTCAACAACAAATTCTACATCTTTGCTTCCAATTTTTGCATTCCAATCACCAGTAATTATCAGTGTAGCTTGATTTCATGTTTGATCAATTTCAGATTGAAGAACTTGTTAGAATTCAATTTCTTTATCATTGACTTTTGGTGGGTAAATTTGAATAACAGTGGTATTAACTGGATTTCCTTGTAGGCATACAGCTATTATCCTACACAGACATCATTATACTGCAACGTAGACCTTGGAATACTCTTTTTGATGATGAATGCAACAGTATTTGTCTTGAAGTTGTTATTCCTGGCTTAACAAAACTTATGAGAATTCTTATTCCAAATATTCAACACCAGTCCATTTTGGCTCACCACTAACTAGGATATCAATCTTTATGCACTCCCTCTCATTTTTGACAACTTCCTATTTGACTTCGCAGGAGAAAGATGAGGCTTTCTGCTCCTGTAAAGATTTATAGCCTCAGAAACCCTGGTATGTGATATTAGTGATAATGTTTGATGATTTCCACCATCCTTTGGGCCACCTCTCTTTGGAATGGGCCAGATAACTGTCTTCCAAATTTCTCAGCATAGATGAGTGAGTGCCTTCAGTGGTTCATTCATTTGTTGAAAGATTTGAATTTGCATTCAGTCAAATCCTGGAGCTTTGTTTTTTGTTTTTTACCAATTCCATCAGTGCAGCTTGGGTTTCTTCTTCCTTCAGTACCATCAGTTCTCAATCATATGCTACCTCTCAATCATATGAACATCAACCATTTCTTTTTTACATAGTAACTCTGTATTCTTCCCATCTTTTATAGATGCCTTTGCATCATTCAATATTTTGCCCTTGTTGTTGTTAAATGTCATTGTGTTGTCTCCAACTCATAGCAACCTTATATAGGGTTTCCAAAGAGCAGCTGGTGGGTTTGAACTGCTGAGCTTACAGTTAACAGTCCTGTGCTTACCCTACAGCTCCACACCAGGACTTAGGTTCTTCAGTATTGCAAGTGTAGGCTTGAATTTTTTCTTCAGTGCTTTCAGCTTGAGAAATAATGAGCATTCTTCCCTTTAGGTTTCCTAACTCTAGGTCTTACACACTTCATTATATTACTTTATTTTGCCTTCTTAAACTGCCCTGTGAGATTTTACTTACCAATTTTTTCCATTTACTTTATCGTGTCTATGTTGGAAAGAACGTTTCAGAGTCTATTCTGCCATCCATTTTTGGTCTTTCTTTTCTTTCCTTTTAAACGGCTTTTGCTTTTTCCTGTATGATGTCCTTGATGCCATCCCACAACTCTTCTGTTCTTAGGTCATTAGTGTCTAGTGCATCAAATATGTGCTCGAGATGGTCTCTAAATTCAGCTCAGATATGTTCAAGGTCATATTTTGGCTCTTGTTGACTTGCTTTAATTTTCTTCACCTTTCTCCTGAACTTGCATATGGGCAATTGGTGGTCTGTTCCACAGTCTGTCCCTGTCCTTGTTTAGGCTGATGATAATGGAGCTTTTCCACGGTCTCTTTCCATAGATGTAGTCTTTTGATTCCTATGTATTCCATCTGGTGACATCTACACCATTTTTAGGACCTCAAAAGCCAGGGGAAATACAAATGAAAGATTGAATTCCTTCTTCCTAACTGTCACTGTAGGCTGATTAAACTGAATAACCCAAAAGTCTGTGGAACTAACTGATTTTTAGATTGGCCTGTTAAATAACCAGTGTGTGGTTTTACTCTAATAGTTTCTATGACTATTTCTATAAATGGAAATTGCCTTAGTTAGTCTAGTGCAGCTATAATAGAAATACCATAAGTGAACAACTTTAACCAACAAATATTTGTATTTTTTTGTGTGTGCCTTCACTTGTTCATGTATTGTCTTTCATCTGGGATTATTTTTCTTGAGCTTGAATAATGTGTTTTAGTTATTGTTTACTTGGTGTTATCAATGGACTTATGTCCCCGTAAAATATGTGTTGGTATCATAACCCCTATATTTATCTATAAGGTCCTGGTGTAGCACTATAGGATAAGCACTGGACTGCTAACTACAAAGTTAGTGGTTGAAACCCACCAGTCCCTTCTCAGAAACCCTATGCAGGGTTACTATGAGTTGGAACTGACTTGAAAGCACTTAAGAACCCCAACATACCTGTCTGTACATGTAATACTATTTGGATATAGGATTTTGTTATGTCAGTGAGTCCATATCAGTATGAGGTGTGTCATAAACCTAATCACTTTTTGAGATTTGAAAAGAGCGGATTAGAGACAAAGACAAGTGAATAGAAATGGAGGAAAGAGAAATGCCACATGGAGAGCGCCAAGGAATCAAAGAATGCTGAGACTAGAGAAACTGAGGCCAGGATCTTCCTCCAGAACCTGTAGAGAGAGGCTTCCTCTGGAGCTGATTTCCAGCCACCTGAACAGTGAGATTCAAACCCACTAGCGGCTCCTTGGGAGGAAGATGAGGTTATCTGTTCTCGTAAAGATTTACAATCTTGGAAATTTAATGTAGGGTCCCTATGACGCAGAAATGGAGTTCTGGTGTGGCGCTGTAGGTTGTGTACTGGACTGCAAGCTCAGTGTTTCAAACTCACCAGCCGCTCCTTGGAAACCCTATACAGGGTTGCTATGAGTTAGAACCAACTCTATGGCACTTCACAGCAACAAAAACATGACTCGAAATAGTCAGCAGTGGCAGTGATTTGGGATTGGTGTTTGGAAATTGAGAAACTGAATACTTGCTCTTTTAAGCTACCCACTCCTACTGTTTTTTGTTACTGTAGCACTAGCGAAGTAAGACACCTGGAAAATCTTTTCCCTCAGCTTTGAAGAGTATTTTACTTTGGTAAAGAATTCTAGGTTTACAGTTGCATCCTGCTCTTTAAAGGTGTCTTACTTTTCACTTGCTTCTTGGCTTTCTGTTGAGAAATAAACCTTTAGGCTTTTGTTGCTCCTTTTATGCAAATCTTTCTTCTGGCTGCTTTTAGGATTTCTTCTTTGTCTTTGATTTTGATATGCCTAGGAGAAATTCGACTGAGCTTCTTGTAGATGTTTTTAATCAATTTTGGAAAATGTTCTGTCATTTATAATTTTGAATCTTTCTTCTATCACTTTCCCTATTTCTTCTCCTTCTGGAATTTCAATTATATGTGTCTTTTTTTTTCAGTGTCCCACATACACTGCTCTGTTATTTCATTTTTTTCCTGTGACTTAGTTTTGATCTTGGTGTGAATTCAAATTCAGTAATCCTGCCATCTTTGAAGTCCAGTTAGCTGTTAAACACACTCGATTTCTTAATTTCATGTTATAGTTTTGAGTTCTTGAATATACATTTGATTTTTTTTATATAGTTTACCATTATTTGTTTGAATAACAGATCTTTTCATGTATGTGTCCATCTTTTCTTTATTGTATTTAACCTGTGTATAATAAATGGAGTCCTGGTGTGGCTCTATAGGATAAGCACTAGAATGCTAATCACATGGTTGTTGGTTCAAACTCACCAATCACTTCTCAGAAGCCTTATATAAGGTCACCACAAGTTGGTACTGACTCCATGGCACTTAACAACATGTATAATTGTTATTTCAAAGTTTTTGTCTACTAAACCCAGCATCTGTCTCATCTGTGGGTCTGCTTATTTAAATTTGTATTGATTCTTTTTCACATTTTTTTGCCTCTTTGCATTTGTTATTGTTGTAGTTGTTAAGTGCTGTCAAGTCTGTTCTGACCCACAGCAACCCTGTATAGGGTTTCCGAGGAGTTTGAACCACCAACCTTGAGAATCAATCAGACTTTGCAGTCCAGTGCATTAACCCATAGTGTCACACAAGGATTCCTTTGCATATACCTTAATTTTTTATTATATCCTGATCTTTGTGTATCAAACAATGAAGGCCTCTTTGCATACATCTTAATTTTTTTTTACTGTTTCCTGATCTTTGTGTATTGTTAATGAATGTAGTTTATATTATTTTTCTCTGGAAGTATTTTCCCTTCTCTCCATTAGGCTGATGGTGTAAAGGTGATCATCCTAATCCACTCAGAAACTGAACAGAGTGGTGGCTAGGTCTCAGGTTACATTCTATCTTTCTCTCATCTCCAGGAACTAGAGGGACATGGCAGGCACATTTTTCTTGTAGTTCCTTTCCTCTAATGAGTTTTAGTTTCCTAAGCATCGTGAGTCTGAGGAGATTTTATTCTGTGGTTGCAAAATTTCCAAGCGTTTAGAAAATATCATGTGAGAATAATGTCTTGCATTTGAAAATTCTCTATTTTCCAGTCCACATGACTGTCTAAATTACACTTTTGTTTCTTCCCCTCTATGAGCTTCTTCTACTGAGTGAAATGGTTAACTGTCTCAGTTCACCTAATTGTGCTTTCCTAATTGTACTTTCAACTCAACATTTCTCTTTGTTTTCCATGCATGTTGATGTTCAAAAAGTTCATGGAAAAATTACATTATCTTTTCATTCCATTTTTCCACAAACTTTTTGAAGCCCCCTCAGGGCTCCATGTATGACTTACCCATTTTAATTTTTCCTACAAGTTGCAGTGGGAGTAATGGCCTGATATTACCTACTAAATTATATACTAAAAAGAAAACCCCCTGGCCAATCTAAATTTTAATAGTTGACTTTAAAGTAGATTTTATCTTTACCTTTGATTTTGATGTGCTTACAAGAAGGTGGAGGAGCTCTGGTAGCATAATGGTTTATGAGCTGGGCTGCTAACCATAAGGAAGTTGGAATCTACCAGGCATTCCAGGCAAGAAAGCTGAGACTTTCTGCTTCTGTTAAATTTGCAGCCCTGGAAACCTTATACAGGGTCCCTGTGAGTCAGAACGGAATTGAGGGCATGTAATCACCACTCTTACTACCAGAAGAAGTTCATTTATGTTCTGGAGATAGGATATAATCGCTTCCTAATTTGTCTTCCATATGTACTTTTTTATTCCTTAAAGCAAGGTCTATTTGTGTTTTTTCTAGGGTGTGGCACTATGTTGTATATTAGCTTGTTTAACATACATACATTGATTATATAGCGTAGTGGTTACAAATCGGGCTGTGAACCTCAAGGTCAGCAGTTAGAAACTACCAGCCATTCCGTGGTAGAAAGATGAGACTTTCTACTCCTGTAAATATTTACAGCCTCGAAAACCCTATACAGGATCACTATGACTTGGAACCGACTCCATGGCACATAACAACAACAACATACACATTCAACACCTTTAGTAATTTTTAATGACTATATGAATTAAAAAGCTTTGTTAAATCTGAGTTTTTTAAATCCAGAAACTAATTTTCAACTTTTACCTAGGAAAAGATGTACGTCTCAACTGCTCTGCTTTGCTGAATGAAAATGATGTGATTTATTGGCTCTTCCCAGAAGAAAATGCAACATATGGCAATATACATGAAGAGAGTGAAGTCAATATTATGTATGTATGTATGTGATGTTACAAAAAACAAACAAACACTAGACTCCTGCTTGAATCATGTGCTATTAGGGTTAGTTTGAATTAGAATTACAGTTTTATAATGATAACTTCTTGTCTCGAAATTGATGGATTATGTAGAGATCTAACAGCATAGTTGTTACGAATCGGGCTGCGAACCTTAAGGTCAGCGGTTCGAAACTACCAGCCGTTCTGCGGGAGAAAGATGAGGCTTTCTACTCCCGTAAGGATTTATACCCTCGGAAACCCTGTACAGGGTCGCTATGGGTCGGAACCGACTCAACGGCACTTAACAACAACAACAACCTAGAAAAAGAAGGTCACTAGAACCTTTTGATGTTACCTTACATTTTAATTAATTTATATTTTAAATATAACTTTTAAACCTTTTTATTGTAATGAGTGAAGGTTTAGAGAGAAAATTTGGTTTTCCATTCAATAATTCATACACATTTTGTTTCATGACATTGATTGTAGTACACACAGTATAATAGCACTCTTCTCACTTCCTTCCTATGCTTATTCTTTCCATTGGTCCTTCTTTCCTACCCATTCCTGCTGTCTGAGGTTTATCCCGGGGCAAATGCTGCACTGTTGATTTTGTGTGACTAATTATTCTAAGTAGTGCATACCTCCCTCGTATTATTGTTCACCCTATAGACTTGTCTATTGTTTGACTGAAAGTTAAACCATAGGGGTGAGTTCAGTTCCAATCCTTAAGAGTGTTTAAATGATCATTGTCTTGGGGGATCCACTAGTCTCTGTCAGACCAGTAAACCTGGTCTTTTTTTAAAATTTTGAGTTTAATTCCACATTTTCCTTGCACTCTATCCAGAACCTTCTAATGTGTTCTTTTCAGAACAGTTTGGTTGTAGCAGCCACGTACCATTTAGTTCTTCTAATTTCAGAGTGGTGGAGGCTGAGGTTTGTGTCCTTTGGACTAATTGTTTGCATGTGTTTTTGATTTTCTTTACTCTTCTTTGCTCCAGAAAGGGAGAGACCAATAATTAATTGCACCTCTGAAGGCTGCTTACAAGCCTTTAAGATCCCAGTAATTACTCACCAAATTAAGTTGTAGAACATTGTCTTTATTAACTGGTGGTGGTAGTTGTGTACTATAAAATTGATTCTAACAGTGGAGGCTCTACATCTTTACAGGAGCAGAAAGCCTCATCTTTCTCATGTGGAGCAACTGTTAGATTCGAACTACTGACCTAGTGGTTAGCAGCCTAATTTGTAACTCGCTACACTACTAGGGCTTCATTGTCTTTGTTATAACTCTATTATGCCAATGCCAGTTGATCTTGATGTCCTTTCATAACTATGGTCTCAAGCTTCCAGGCTTAGTGACTCATCACTTCCAGAAGTTTGGTATGGTTAGTAAGATTATATTTCTTTGCCCCTCTTTGCTCTATTAAAAAAAATAGATATATTTAGGGTACATACAGATGTGTTTGTAGAAATATCATCTGCCAAACCTATGTATGGTTTTGCCTTCTCATCTTGCCTGCTTGCCTATGCAACTACTTTCAGATTAAGGTTTGTTCTTTCTGATAATGCAGGATTATATATGTATGTATGTATATATGTAATAGTATTTATTTTTGTTGTCTATAACTTTTCTTTCCTTTCCATATATTCCTCTTCTTTGGTGATATTATGCTGATAACCCCTCATTGTAAGTTGTATTTCCATTCATCCCAAACTTTCTTCTCCCACAAAGATTCAAAAAACCTTGGAAATCCTATACAGGGTCGCTATGAGTTGGAACCAACTCTACCACACTTAGAAACAATAATTCTCTAATAATTTTCCCGTCCCTCCCCTCCTATCCCTGGTAACTTTTGAATATTTTTTCCCTTGACTTTATATAATTGTGAACTTCTATAATTGTCCTTTTGTGATTGACTTATTTCAAATAATACAATGTCCTCCGGGTTAATTCACGTGAGATGTTTTGAGGATTCTTTTTTATTGTTCTTTAACATTGCATAATAATCTATTGTATGTATGCACCATACATTGTTTTAACTTTTTTTGTGTGTATTGGGTGAAGGTTTACAGAGCAGATAATTAGTTTTACATTCAACAAATCGTATACTTTGCTTCATTACAATAATTGGAATCCCCTCTATATACTATCAGTTAAAAGTATTTATCTCTATTTACTTTAACTCTTGCATCCCTCCCTGTGTCTTTTGCTACCTTCATCTTTCCTCTACCAATCTCCCTCTTGTTGTATATTGCTTGTCCCATCACCCATGCTAACATGTGACTACACTCTGTTGTTGTTGTTAAGTGCCGTTGAACCAGTTCCGACCCATAGCGACCCTGTACAGGGTTTCTGAGGTTGTAAATCTTTATGGGAGCAGAAAGCCTCATCTTTCTCCCGCAGAGCGGCTGGTAGTTTCGAACTGCTGACTTTAAGGTTCACAGCCCAATTTGTAACCACTACGCTAGCCCATAAATAATTTTCTCTCCCCTTTAGCACCTCCTAACTGTAACCCTCATACAATGTTTCTTTCATCCAGAAAAACTTTTCTTTAACTTTTTAAAGCAGTGGTCTCATACAATATTTGTGTTTTTGTGATTGATTAATTTCACTCAGCATAGTGTCCCCCAGGTTCATCCACATTGTGAGGTGTTTTGCACATTCATAGTTATTCATCAGCATCACATAACATTCCATTGCTTGTATCTTCCAAAGTTTAATTATTCTTCTGTTGATAGACGTATAGGTTGTCTCCAATTTTTTTCTCCTTTGAATAGTGCTGCAGTGAACATGGTGTATGCACCCTATTTCATTTATTCATTTCTCCTCTGGTGAGAACTTAGGGAAGAATGCTTCAGTGAACATGGTTGTACATATATCTATCTGTGTTCCTACTCATATCTTTAAGGAGTTCTGGTAGCGTAGTGGGCTGTGAACTGCAAGGTCAGCAGTTCAAAACCACCAGCTGTTCTGCAGGAGAAAGACAAGGCTTTCTGCTTCCATAAAGATTTACAGCCTCGGAAACCCTGTACAGGGTTGCTATGAGTTGGAACCGACTCCATGGCACATAACCACCAACCACCACCATTCATATCTTTAGAATGTTGTGTTCTTTCACCATACTTATTCAATCTGTATGTTGAGCAAATAATCCAAGAAGCTGTATTTAAATGAAGAAGAACTTACCATCAGGATTGGAGGTAACAATATGTGATCATCTGAATATCACATATTCACAGATAACAAGATGTGATATTCAGATGATACAACCTTGCTTGTTGAAAGGGAAGAAGATTTAAAATACTTACTGATGACGATCAAAGAATCATAGCCTTCAGTATGGGTTGAACTTCAATATACAGAAAACAAAACTCCTCACCACTGAATTAATAAATAACATCATGGTAAATGGAGAAAAGATTGAAGTTGTCAAAGACTTCATTTTGCTTGGATCCACCATCAACACTC